ACTTTAATTGAAAGAGTTTTTTTATTGCATCTGAAACGATGTATTTTTTGCCCATTTTTTTTATTTCCGAGTGCCTGGTATGAACATTAATATCACATCTGAAATATTGTCAATATAATAATCCATCTCAATGTTAGAAAGATTCCGTTTCAAACCGGAAAGTTATTCAGCAAACCATCTTGAATATCAACTCGGAATGTATCCCAACTTGTGTTTTTATAGAAAGTATACGATTTTAGAGGATTTAAAATAATTGAAAACGATGACAATTTTAAGTGTAATCTTAAGGGGAAATGGCCAGAAAATGTTGGTAATAAGCTCATTTGGAAATTTTGAGATATCGGATCGTTGGTGTTTGCTATAAGTTGGTGCTTGCTATAAAATGGTCTAGAAATCATGGAACGGGGAAAATGGAACGGAGTCTGAGATTCTTAAAAAATCCACCGACGATTCCCGAATCCATTCATAAAAGGTGTTCCCATTCAAATTATTTAATGTGTCACCCCAAGCCGAGTGTCTGGAGTTAAAATCACCCCCGATTATTACTCCATAGTAATTTCGGGAAATAATATTCAATGCTTCCAAACTGGCACTATATTGAGTGCGATCAGCATGGCATGGGATGTAGATCGAACCAATCGAAACACTTTCTTCAACGCCATTTAAAATGACACCAATACTTAAAAACAAGCTAGGATATGTAAAATCCCTTATAATCACCTTTTGAAATTTGAATGATTTTCTTAAAGCTACGCCTTTGGAACTATTATCCCTTACGAACGCGTAATTTTCTAAAGCAACTCTATGGGCATCTCTTAAGTGAGATTCTTGTATAAAGACGAAATCAATGTTGTTTGAATTTAAAATCTTTGATAATTCAATTCTACGACTCGCTCCAATAAGCGATCTAACATTAAATGAAAGAAAATTTAAAAAATTACGGACCATATTTTGGTTTTATTTCCTCCAAAAGTTCTAATCATTGAATCCTTGCATGTTCCTTTGACTGTGTTCTATAGTGCCTAACAAAGTTTTCAATTTTGTCCTTCAGGGTTATAGTTTTGGCCTGACAGATATCCTTAGCAATTTTCAAAAATGCCTCTATTATAATAGGTTTCGATGTAACATGCTGAGAGTCTGTAAAACAACCAGCGTATGTTCCGTTTAACACTTTTGACACATTACAGGAAGCTGATGCCTTTTTTTCCTTAACTATAGACTTAGTTTGTTCCTGATTATTTAAGTAATCTTTGTAAGCGTTACAGCCCCGATAATTAGACGGATGACCAAATTGCTTGCAATTCGCACAATAAGGCTTATTTTCTTCATTAGATACGAATTTGCAGTCACCTGGAGCGTGCTTTTGATCACATTTCATACAGACATATAGTCTGCTACAATTTTTTGAGATATGGCCCCAATGTTGGCAACGCCAAAATTGTACAACCTTTAAATTTGATGTTACCTTTTTGGAGCAAATATATTTTTGAGCCCTTAATTCAGTTACAGATTTTCCTGGCAATAGAGTAATCAAGTAAAGTCCAGTATCAATATTATTTTTTTTAGAAAATTCGGTCGAAAATTTCTTAACATCCTTTACCGTATTGGGCACTAACGAATTAATATCGCTTCTTATCTCGTCTATGGTTGTTTTGTAATGAAGTCCCCTTAAAACTAGTCGAGAAGGTTTATGTTCTTTAGGTGTATATGTGTATGCTGGTATTTCCTTGGTTTTAAGGAGATCAATAATTTCTGAATGAACTTTAGGTTCCTTAAGATATAGTTTACTTTTTTTTTAATTTACAATTTTAAAAACATTGTTCTTGGATTTAAGTGTTCGTATCAAATCTGTTATGTTTACATCGGAAATAAAAATTGGCGGACAAAACCCCTTAAAATTATTCATAGAATTGGGTGATTTTTCACTTCTACTAAGAGACGCATTTTGCTCTTTGAAATTGATTTCGGATGAAATTCTTTCCTCCACAGACAACCAATCGTCCATAATAAGATATTTCTCTTTTCAGGATTTTATAAATGTATATATGTATATGTTTTTTTTTTAATTTTCCAAATTTGGTTTTCCTTTTTCAGACACAAAAAATACGTCTATTCAGTTCGAAAACTTAATTGAGAATAAGTCGTTACCAACGTTTCTTTATCCTTGCCCCACGAGGTTGAAGCTGTTGGAATGCAATGAGAAATGATAGAGGTTATCGAAGACCACCGCAAGGATTTTCGGATGATGTTCTCTGTGTAGTGGCCGTAATGTGGCATTCCCTTACATATAGAAAAATAAGGTGGGCTTATTTTCTGTATTATTATCTTTTTATTCAATTTTTTCATCGAAGTAAATATAATTTCTCATATCGGATTCTTATCTGAAATTATTAAATATAGGATAATGTTTCAAAACAACTCCTGTAGAACACCTGTACTTTGATTAGAAGGGAAACGTCAACTAGCCAATCCTGGTTTTTGATTTTTAAATTGATATAATTATAATGGTGTATGTGATCGGATACGAGAGATATATTTAATATTTACGAGGCTATGACTGTTTAATTTTTTGTGTTATCATTAGCTAGAGGGCGGATATATGGGCTGTTTTAGACTATTATATAGGCGAACTTACTGCAATTAATTACAAATAATGTCTTCTATAACTGGAATATTATTTAGATTTTTTTTTCAGAAAAAATGTATGTACTTAATTATCAACATTCAATATAGTAGCACCCTTCCAGTCCACCTAAAAAAATTCAGACAATTTTTATACCCTACACAACTATGTTGTCAGGGTATTATAGCTTTGTGCAGCCCCAAATGTTTGTAACGCCGCGAAATATTGGTCCTAGACCCACCTTTAAGTATACCGATCGTCATATCTCGACTAGCTGAGTCGATCTAGACATGTGTGTCCGTCCGTCTGTCCATTATAATTTGTAAACACGATACAGGCCACAGTTATGGACCAATCTTCACGAAATTTTGCATGTAGGATGGGTTCTGGCCAATGAAGACCCCTATTGTTTTTGGAAAAGATCGGTTAATATTTAGGGGATGAAATGGACCAAATACTAAATTTTTGTCGGTTTTTCTGGTCGCTCCAGAGGCCGCAATTATGGCCCAAACACCGCGAATTTTTGCATGGAGAAGGGGATCGGGCCAGAGAATAAGCATGCGTGTTTTGATAAAGATCGGTCAATATTTAGCGGGTCAAATGGACCCTGACTTTTGTGTGAAAAATGACAAAATTTGTATTCTATGGCATATATATTTACTCCTGGAGGATGTAGACCCCAGGCTTGAAATTGTTCATGAGGTTCCAGTTATGGTCAAGAACAACGCCTATAATTTTCGGTGATGATCAGATTAAAATTTTGGGATGAAATGGACGGAGAATATAATTTTTTGTGTGTTTTCGAGTAGAGTATAATCCAAAAATCACAACACAACCCACCGTGAAGGTAATCTGGACAAGTAATTAGAAGGACTGTACTGAATATTCGAAAATAGTAAGGAAGAGGTGTTGTTAACCTCTAATCGGACAAGAGGGGGCAAATATCACAAAATATTACTCAGACTCGGAATAAACATCCTCAGAAAGTTAGAGTTCGTGGTAGTTGTGTAGGGTATCGTATGGTCGGCCCCGTCCGACTATACTGCTCCGCTCACTGGTTTACAAATGTTTTTCTACACTATGATTAGTGTCAGAGAATAATTCAATATCCGGCTCAATTCACCCACCAAATATCGACGATAGACTGATATACCTTAGCATTGGAATGAGTTAGTCCACAGTTGCTACGAAACGATTGATTTTCTCACGCTCCTTATTGGATTTGGAACACGAGTGCAATACACGCGATTTGTTTACATGCACTAAACGTATCAGAAGGTGGTTTTTATTTATTTATTTTAGTTTTTGCAAGCCAACCTCAATCGGAGGAAGATGAAGAAAAACACTGCAACGAGCTAAATTGTAGAACGCGTTCGCTATCAAAATAACATAGAGAGAAAAAAAAAACGAAACAATGACCCATTGAGTGGAGAACCTACGTTCGAATGCATCAACTTAGACTCTACGTGGGTGTAGTGAAGAGCAATTTTTAATCAATAAATTAAAACAATTTACATTTTCCCTATATATCTAAAGTAAAATAAAATTTAACATACTGATTCCAGAGGAGTGAAATTAAGGCCTTGAGATATAACAATATTCTATAGTTCCACGTTATCTACCAGATCTACGCATTTCAAATAAATGCCTAGCACATACACACGAGCGCATTCCTTTCGCCATTATAGCAATAATAGCAACATCATGGTATTTCGAGAAGACTATGTTGGGCTGACAATGCCAACAACACATACTTTGCCCCATGCAGTTGCAAGTCGAATATGTATTTTGCAAATTACTACATACTGTTTGTTGTTTGTTTTGGTTTCCTTTTTTTTTTTTTTGTTGTTGCTGTTGACTGGACTGTGCCTGCATGTGACTCCTCCATTGCTGTGATCTTTTGTTGACTTTAAGCGGCTTTTTGACTTAAAGTGGCGCATCGCAGAGTCAAAGAAACTGAAACGACCAGCAGAAGCGACCAACAACGCCACCATCAGCACCACCAACACACATAAAAGCCCCCTACAACACTAGGTCAAAAGAAGAAAAAAAAATCGATATCGAAAAAATCGATTTCACATACGAGGATCGTATGGATAGACACGATTCCAACGAACTTCTTCTATAGAATAGAGAGAGAAGAAGTAAAAGAGTCGGTAATTTCGTTCGAGCCGAACATTCTTTACTCTCCACCACCTGGAGTGCATTCAAATTTGCTTAAGTCGCATTATGTGGTATAAGGCCCTAAAAAATGTTCCAAATTACAGACACTCAGGTTGGAAAATGGGGTAATAATTTCAAGATATCGTAATTAAAACAATAATTCATTTAAATAATTTCTGGAAAGAAGTTTTATTCACCGATTAAAACTTCAAAGTTAGGGCTGTGTCAAAACTTTGCAACGTATTAGGTTGGAGAAAATGAAATCCATCATCTTAAGCGGATGATGACTAGAGATGAGAACTTGATCACATGCTATGAACCTGTGCGAAAACGATCGTGGTCAAAGAACGTTTCTGTTAACCGCCATTAACATTCTGCTATGCATTTGGTGGGACTGGAAGGGCCTTATTTATTATGAGTTGCTTCCATATGGTAAAACGCTAAATTCTGATCTCTACTGTCAACAACTGGACCGTTTGAAGATAGCAATTGACCAGTAACGGCCAGAATTGGCCAATAAGCTTGGTTGGGAAGTTTTAATGAAGCTGTCATACAGTCCGAACTTGGCACCAAGCAATTATCATATTTTTCTCGCATTGCAATTTTTTTTAATGATAATAAATTTGTATCTAGGGAGTATTGTGAAAATCGACTACTAGGCAATACAACAAAACGGTGCATATTTAGCCCAAATTGGACCTTTCGAAGCATGGTAAATAAAGTCCTGCAATTTTATATAAAAACTAGCATATGCTCGCAACTTCGTTAGCGAATGTGGATAATATTTAAACATGTATTAACATATTATTTAATTTTTAAAGCAAACTGCATATGTCAGAAAAAACAATCCACACAATAATATCGATGATAAATTAAATTTGAGTACCATTTAGTACCAAATTTCATGATTCGAACTCTAAAGGTTCACCTAAATCCAAATTTTCCATTTAGCACACATTATTTCCATATCAAAAAAACTGCCTATATACCCCAATCCTACACCCCCACAGTGATCCTAAATCCAAGTTTCAGGATTGCAACTCTATTGGTTCACCCACAATTCAACTTGTACTAAATTTAGTACACAGTAGTACTTATTTCCAAAACATCCCTCCTACCCCAATCCTACACCCCGACACTGATTCTAAATCCAAGTTTCAGGATTGCAACTCTATTGGTTCACCCACAATTTAAATTGTACCAAATTTTATACAGAGTAGTACCAATTACAAAACTTCCTATACACCCCAATCCTACACCCCACAGTGATCCTAAAGCCAAGTTTCAGGATTCCAACTCTATTGGTGCACCCGCAATTCAAATTTAGTACATAGTTGTACCTACACATTATTTCCATAAAAAAACTGCCTATATATCCCAATCCTACACCCACACAGTGATCCTAAATCCAAGTTTTAGGATTCTTACTCTATAGGTTCACCCACAATTCAACTTGTACTAAATTTAGTACACAGTAGTACTTATTTCCAAAACATCCCTCCTACCCCAATCCAACACCCCGACAGTGATTCTAAATCCAAGTTTTAGGATTGCAACTCTATTGGTTCACCCACAATTTAAATTGTACCAAATTTTATGCAGAGTAGTACCAATTACAAAACTTCCTATATACCCCAATCCTACACCACACAGTGATCCTAAAGCCAAGTTTCAGGATTCCAACTCTATTGGTGCACCCGCAATTCAAATTTAGTACATAGTTGTACCAATTTCCAAAACTTCCTACACATTATTTCCATAAAGAACTGTCTATATACCCCAATCCTACACCCCCATAGTGATCCTAAATCCATGTTTCAGGATTCAACTCTATAGATTCACCCACAACTTGTACTAAATTTATAACAGTAGTACTTATTTCCAAAACATCCCTCCTACCCCAATCCTACATCCCGACAGTGATTCTAAATCCAAGTTTCAGGATTACAACTCTATTGGTTCACCCACAATTTAAATTGTACCAAATTTTATACAGAGTAGTACCAATTACAAAACCTTCTATATACCCCAATCCTACACCCCACAGTGATCCTAAAGCCAAGTTTCAGGATTCCAACTCTATTGGTGCACCCGCAATTCATATTGTAACAAATTTAGTACATAGTTGTACCAATTTCCAAAACTTCCTACATACTCCAATCTGCACCTCCACAGTCGTCCTAAATCCTAGTTTCAGATTCCAACTTTATCGGTTGGCCCACAATTTAAATTGTACTAAATTTAGTACACATAAGCACAAATTTCTAAAACTTCTTACATATTTTAATCTTACACCTCCACAGTGATCCTGACTCCAACTTTCATGATTCTATCTCTATTGGTACACCAAAAATTCAAATTGTACCACAATTAGTACCAATAAGCATTAATTTAATCTGAGTTAATCTGTATCCTGACCCTAATCCTACATCCCTACAATGATCCCTACTCCAAATTTCATTGTTCCAGCTCCATGGGTTAAAAATGGAAGTGAACAAGGAGAAAATTCGGTATATTTTAAGCTTTTCTTTGGCAAAGGCGAAAATGCAAGCCAAGCGGCTAAAATTGTGAATGGTGTTTATGGTTCCGATACTGTAACATCCAATTATGTGAAATTTTGGTTTCGTAGATTCCTTTCAGGAATTTTTCATGTTAAAGATGCACCTCGCATAGGCAGGCCGGTCATCGAAAATGTCGATCAAATCGGAGAAATGATCGAAGTTGACCGGCATGTTAGCAGTCGTAACTTCGCCCAGGAGCTAAAAATCGGCCATAACTATTTTAAACCATTCACACCCAATAAATAATAATAATGGCTATTATTTAGAGTATAGCTGCTTATAAAGGCACCTTTCAATTTGTGGTTCAGTTGTATATAAATTGTTCCTATCAAAAGTTATCAACATTGGTGCATGATTTTCCATATTTTGAGTTGCTGGGTCAAATTTATCATTACATCATAATGCATCAACCTATTCCAGTGTACCTCCTATTTCAATGATAACAACAACAAACAATCGCCTTTTGAATGTGCCTACACATGCGCTCTACTCTATGTGGCGGAAGATACACACGTACATAACTACATAGCTTGTGAGCCCACCATTCATTTAAAGAATACTACCAAGTATGGCCTAAGAGACGACCCACATAGTCCTACGTACGTACATTACCGATTGTTGGCATCCAGTACGAAGTTTTTTTTTCTTCAAAATACCCCTGTGAACCGTAACTGTTTTTATTCATTTCGATGCTGTTGTTGTTGCTGTTCGGTTGTTCGTTATGCTGCATTGTTAAATCAACTTTTAGGGGCATATATGTTGCTGTTGCTGGTAATGCCGCTAATGCTGGCAATAAAGTCGCCAGAGTCCAGGGTCCGGGGCCCGCAGCAACAGTAGTTGTGGTAGTGGTGGTAGGTATTTCACAGGCATTGCTTTCATTGAAAACAATTTGGCGACATTATTGCAACTCAATGATTTATTATGCAAATCGTTGCTTATGCAGTCTTTAAGCGAAATTAACAATAACAACAACAACAATGACGGCAACAGCAACGTCACATCTGAATGTGATAAGCGAACGGCTGTGCGCAGAAGCAGCCACAGACTGCATTAGAGCCACTCTGAGTTCAAAAAACGTTTCGGAATTTATAATATTGAGTTATTACATTATAAGAGGCCAATTATTAGTTACCAATTCTGAGCATGTACCAATCGTCTGTGCATGTATGTATATGTGCTGAGTGTGTGTGTTTTTGGCAACATCAAATATCCAACTGGCATAAAACTGCACAACATTAATCAAAATATTTATGTAGGGATATGTTGTATAAGTCCGATTTTTGCTGCTCATTTGACATTAATTGCACAGTTTTGGAGTAGAAAAAATCAAAACAAAAACTTATATAAAAAATCTCATGTTTATGACTTGACAGACACTCAGATAGAAAAATTTGACTATGTCCCATTTTTACATTAGAAAAACTTCGGTGGAAAAATGCGCCTAAGTGCTTGGAAATAGCGATTCAGAAAGTTATTCTGTGTATATTCTCAAAAGTAACAGCGGGTTCTGTGATACGGATTCTTTTGGTCCCAGACGGGATCGAACAAAACGCCATACCGTGATTCTGTTCTGTTTGCCACAATATCATACACCATAGGTCAGTGATGCCACACGTTGCTGTTCTAACTCTTAAATATACATCATTTCTACAATTATATTGCAAAGGACTTCGAAGGAAAATATATGAGATCCTGGATTTCATGAACCGGAAGAATGTCTTGGTCGTAACGGTGCTGATTATACCAAAAGCGGAGGTGGGGCATAACATTCCTTATGCTTTACTCCCGAGCTAGACTCTAGTGACCCATACAATCAATGGATGGGGGTAGCAGTTTATAATGTGTACTGCCGAGGTGCATGCGATTAGTTTGGATATACCGCCGATTATTAGCTGTTCACCGCGTTATTTGTTTGAAATTAACCATTAGAGGGTAATCACCATCTGATACTAGGAGAATTTAATGCATGTTATGAATTGTAGAATTTCGTTCTTGATAATGGCCAGAGGGGAACAGAGGTGACAGAGAAATTTGTTAGTTAAGCGTTTTGACTTCAAGACAGTTCGCCAGATATAACCATCGTGTCATCTACTTTGATCAATTACGTTAACTAGGAGAACAGACAACTTCCCCATAATTGTCTCTATAAGAAGACCTCTTAATTTTACCACCTCTTAACCGTCGTTTCAATAAAATTTCCATTCCTTCTGATGTATGCATAGCAGAAAGGAAAAGGGAAAGATGTATTTGCTTTTTCGAATAGCCGAGTTGATACCTAATTTCACAGCAGAGACAGTTGGTTTAGCAAATGACCTCCATGATCTAAACAAACAGATCCCATGATAAAGAAACACACGTTCCAGGTCAGCAGATTAGACGCTGAACATAAGTGGAATAAAAGGTTTTATCAGTCATATTTAACGACGAAACTTGGCCTGGTCCAAAGAGATGCTGGATGGAAGGTTAATTGAATATCCGACTAAAGTCCACTTAACTGAACTGAAGCCATGGTGGTCCCATGCCCAATGACCAGACACTGAGTTCAAGTAACATTCTAATATCAAGACAAGGCTCTTGAGATAGTATTCCTCACAAGCACTGCGAATTATTAGTATGGGTTCCGTAAGCACCACAGTACAACAACAGCCTTGCACGCCATATCCATATATATAAGTCGAGGAGTAAACCAGATCAGGGATTGATCTTGAGCTATCCAAAGCCTTTGATACCATACTGTTTGAGGACATAAAGAATATTTCCCTCCGGACATGTTAGAGACGTTGGATAATCAATGCTATGTGTGGACTACAGTTGTACGTTGAGTTGCAGGGTATCCCCAATGGTGGGGTGATGTCTCCGGAACAGTTTAACCTCTACTTTTCTGATATTCCACACCCCAGACAGCACTGAAATCGTTACGTATGCAGACTATTTTACAAAGGTACGAAGTGTAAAGTTGAATACCTATCTCATAGATTTGGTAACCTTTCTCCTTGCGATTAATATAAAATTATGCACCACGAAATCTTCGATCAGATTGTTTACATGAACTGTGTAGATAAAAATGTCTTTGTAATTTATGATGCGTTTAAATTAGGAGCAATGTTCTCAAGTCACTTGCCGATAGAACCTGGGCGCAGATAAGAAAACCTTTGTGAACTCTTATCAAACGATATTTCGCAAACACTAGTACCGAATTTTTAAGACCAGTCAGAAAATCGTCCTGAGAATTGCATAAGGATCATCCTAATGAAAATTCGGTAAATTCTTTGGCAAAGACGAAAATACAAGCCTAGCGGCTAAAATTGTGAATGGTGTTTATGGTTCCGATAATGTAACAGCCAATTATTTGCTATTTTGATTTCGTAGATTCCGTTCAAGAATTTTTGATGTTAAAGATGCACCTCGCACATGTAGGCCGGTCATCGAAAATGTCTAAAATCGACCATTTACAATTGACCAGAATTTGCCAACAGGAGAGGTGTCGTGTTCCACCAGAAAACACTAGGCCACATACACAATGACTTACCAGAAACTTCGGGAGCATGGTTGGAAGGTTTTAATGTATCAACAGCCCGAATTTGGTACCCAACGATTATCATTTTTTTCTTGCATTGCAAAATTTCTTTAAGGGAACCCCACCCATTCTCGATTTTAATTTTTCAAGATTTTCAATGGGCTGGTAAATCAATAAGGATTCTAACTTTGCACTTATATTTGAAGATTTAAAAGAGAAGAAAAATAATTTACAACAAATTTTTGTTATTGTTTTGCTGTTGTTTTTTGCAATTAAAGAAAAGTCCTTATTTTTGATGGCGGGCATGATAACTCCCCACTGGAACATCGGAATTCGAAAATTCCAACGTTGTTAGAAAGAACACATGCCTGGCTCTCGTATGAATTGACTTCGCTCTAAAATTAACAAAATGGCGGACCTTTGAAAAATATTTTTGGAAAATCGCAGATTTTTTACCAAAAACCAAGTTAAAAATAAGGAAGATCTTTACCGATTGGCTTTATCCTAGTTCATACGATAGCTATACACTCACAGAGAAACGTGTAAAAATTTAAAATCGATTGGGTTATTAGTTTTTGAGTTATCGTGCCCGCCATTCGCAAAAGAGAAAAACGCGTTTAAAGTTAGAGAAGCCCTTTAGGCGTCACTTGATGCTGACACAATAAATCGGCTATATTTTCAAGAGTTCTTGAGATTTTCACTTGAAATTTTGTAGGGACATTCTTGAATTAGTGTAGAATCGAATTAAATAAAAAAAATTTTGACCCGAGAATGGGGGGTCCCCTTAATGATAAAAAATTGGTATCTAGGGAGGATTGTGAAAATCGGCTACTAGAGGTTTTTGCAAAAAAAAAAATAAGTCTTATAGTTCCTATAAAAAAAATTGGATTCATTTTTCCCCAATGATAAAACTCATATGATAGCATGTCAAGAAGGATCAGCATGATCTACTGAGATGGGTCGAACGATTTAAAAGAATAGAGTTTACAATTATGAAGTTGCCGACATGTTAAATGAATACAGAGTGAATGCCATCCTCGCAGCTCAGCTGCACAAATCGCAACTGCTTAGACAAATGTTTGGTTCAATTACGATCATGATGGTGCAGTCCACGTACAAAATGTCTGCCAGGGTATATGGTATATGCCCGCACAACACGCTGGCCTTATTGAATTGTCCCGCCTAGCTTACGCGACTTGCTCCAAAAGATCTGTAGCTACAGCAAATAGAAGTTGCTGCATTTCTTAATTAGGAGACAAATCCAGACCGTGTTCTAACCAAACACGAAAATAAAACTATAAATGCAATAGTTAGAACAACGATAAACCCTGTACCAAAATAAATATGCGGATAAATCCGTCAAACTACCAATACTGCGGTGGTACATGAGTTCACATATTCGGATTTCTATACTAAATATTCTACGTCTACGATTTCTATTAATAAAAAAATATTCTACTTCTAGTATGTTTGTTACTGAAATTGATCTGGAATGCCTTTATATAGGGGCTACCAAAACGTGGATCTACATAGTCCATCTTCGAATTTAACAAAGCTGCGAACAAAAGACGGGTCTTTGCAACTCTCTTCGACTCTTAATTCCCTTCGAATGATGACGTGATGACAACAAACGAATACGACTGTATCGTATTAATAATTGATAATAATTTTAATAATAATAATAACAAGTGAAAAAGCGTTAAGTTCGGCTGGGCCGAATGCAATGAAAATATAGGGAACATACCAAAAAGTGTAAACCAAATACAAACTTCAGCAATTGTTAGGGATTTTCCCTAAAATCTGTAAGATCCAAAAAGTGGACTGATACTGATAATGTATGGTAGAGCATAAAATCCTCAAACTACTGTAATTTAGATTACAAAGTTATATGAGGCTATGTCTAAAGGGGGACCAATATTGATTACATAGTGTAGGAAATGGTGAATATTTGGGGATATCATTATATGAGGGCTATGCCTAATTAATGACCAGTATATGCCAATATTGAACCCAATATTTTAATTGTTTATCGCAATTCTTTCCTTCAGGAGGCATCACTATATTGAGGAGATCCGATATATTTCATTATCGTCATGTTTGAGTTTTCTTTTATCACAATATCTTTAGAAGGCGGAATGCATACAACAGATGGCTAAATAGTCTAACGACTACCCAACCCCAACACACGGAACAAATCAGATAACTATTTTAATATAAAAAAGGGGGTTATATGGGGACTACCCCTAAAAAGGGGTGAATATTAATAATTTTTGGTGGGGAAATTTCTTACCATATACGACTACAAAATACCAAATTTCAGCGAATTCGGTTAAAAAACGAAAAAATTTACCTATA